ACCCAACCAACAAAATTCCATCAAATAATCACCTTCCAATCTCTACAATGACTATGTATTTATATTAGGAACTTATGGCTTCTAATCACCACACCAAGAGTCCCAATACTTAATTCACACTCATATACCCATAATAAATTCATACATGTAAGTCTAAGGGGAGTAGGATTACCTTTTGGAAGAAATCTTGCAAAACCCTCCTTTGAGTTCTTGAAGGAATTTCTTGAAGATCTATGTGTTTTATGAGTAGATTTCATCAATACTAGTGTAGGAATAATGGAATTTTACACCAAGTTAATGAAGATTGCGTACCTTGAAGATGGGAGGGGTTGGAGGTCTTGAGAGGGTGAAGAAAACCCCAAAATTCGAGCTTGAATGATCAAAAAATGAAGGAAATATAATACCCCTTCGGTTTTTACACTGACCAGGGGTATTTTAGACATTTTACATGTTCCACCGCGTTCTGCCACGGTTTACAGGCAGAAAAACCTTGGTTTGCCGCGGTTCGCCGCAGCCGCGTTCCTGGGCGCGCTGGTGACGCATGTCCGGTAAAATGGTCATAACTTTCTGTATACACCTCCAAATGACGAACGGTTTGTTGCGTTGGGAACTAGACTCAAAGGGCTTTAATTTGATAGGTTGTGCATCACTCAACACTTTATATAACTAGAGATATGCTTGTCCAAAGTGAGGTCTTGTGCGCATTCACTTACAACTTTAGCCTATTATGAAAATTTTCCAACTTGGCTTAGACTTAGGTCTCTCCTTAGACCCCAAATTACTTATAATATGACTTATACACTTATTAACTTATCTAATTGATATCCATTATATCATGAACCCTCACTTGCACACAAGATAAAATAATTAGCCTATCTTGGCACCACAAAATCTTAGATTACTTAGCAAAATTTCCCGGGGCTTTACAACAATATCCAGACGTAGAACGTCTATCAGAAGGTGATCCTGCCCAATCAGCATCTGAGTATCCAACGATCTGCTCATGGCCTCGATCCTCAAACAATAAACCTTTGCTTGGAGCTGATTTTATATACCAAAGAATGCGAACAACTGCATCCCAATGACTATCACGCGGAGAATCCATAAACTGACTCACAACACTCACAACACTCATAGGAAAGGAAATGTCAGGTCTTGTCACTGTAAAGTAATTTAATTTACCAACCAACTGCCTATATCTTGCAGGATCGCTAAGAGGCTCCCCTCTCCAATTCGGATCCATCGGAGTGTCAACAGGTCTACAACCTGTCATTCACGTCTCCTCAAAAATATCTAAGGCATGCTTCCGTTGTGAGATCACAATAACTGAGCTAGACTGAGCGACCTCAATACCCAGAAAATACTTTAGTTTGCCCAGATCCTTAGTTTGAAAGTGTTGAAAGAGATGCTTCAATTTAGTAATACCATCCTGGTCATTGCCGGTAATAACAATGTCGTCAACATAGACCACCAGATATATACAGAGACTCGAAGCAGAATGCCGATAGAATACAGAGTGATCAGCTTCACTCCGAGTCATGCCAAATTCCAGGATAACTGTGCTAAACTTACCAAACCAGGCTCGAGGAGACTACTTTAGACCATAAAGTGACTGGCGCAAGCGACATACAAGGCCACGAGACTCCCCCTGAGCAACAAACCCAGGTGGTTGCTCCATATAAACTTCATCCTCAAGGTCACCGTGTAAAAAACATTCTTTATGTCCAGCTGATAGAGGGGCCAATGGAGAACAACAACCATGGATAGAAAAAGGCGGACTGATGCTATCTTAGCCACGGGAGAGAAGGTATCACTGTAATCGAGCCCAAATATCTGAGTATATCCCTTGGCAACAAGACAAGCCTTAAGACGGTCAACCTTACCATCCGGACCAACCTTGACTGCATACACCCAACGACAACCAACAGTAGATTTACCTGAAGGAAGAGGGACGAGCTCCCAAGTACCACTCGTATGTAAAACAGACATCTCGTCAATCATAGCCTGTCGCCATCCTGGATGAGACAATGCTTCACCTATAGACTTAGGGATGGAAACAGAGGACAAAGAAGATAGACAAGCATAATAGGGTGATGGCAAACGATGATAACTTAAACCGACATAATAGGGATTAGGATTAAGGATGGTCTGTATACCTTTCCGAAGTGCAATCGGTGTACTAGGAAGAGACAAGTCCGCAGTAGGAGCAGGGTCATGTGCAGGACGTGAATCAGCTGGGCCTGATGCTGGGTGCGGACGACGATGATATGTCAAGAGTGGTGTTCCTGTGGCGGGGATTCTAGGAGAAGCCATACTAGATTCCCCAACGGTTGGAATGGGTAAGACTTCTGTGGTGGAAGGTGAAGGAGGAGCTATAGTAGACTCCTTAAAGGTCGGTATAGGTAAGACCTCAAATATATCAAGGTGGTCAGAATGGTCAGAAGAGGTAAAGAAAGGTTTAGGCTAAAAAAATGTGACGTCAGAGGACATAAAGTACCTACGAAGATCAGGTGAGTAACAACGATATCCTTCTGAACACGAGAATAACCAAAGAAGACACACTTGAGAGCACGAGGAGCTAACTTATCTTTCCCAGGGGCTAAGTTATGAACGAAACAAGTGCTCCCAAAAACACGAGGGGGAACAAAGTATAAGGGTGACTGGAGAAACAATACTGCATACGGAATCTGATTCTGGATGGGAGATGAAGGCATCCGATTAACCAAATAACAAGCTGTGAGAACTGCATCGCCCCAAAAACGCAACGGAACATGAGATTCAATGAGAAGTCTACGAGCAGTCTCAATAATGTGCCTATTCTTTCTCTCTGCAACCTCATTTTGCTGAGGGGTATAAGGCCTAGAGGTTTGATGAATAATTCCTTGAGAAGTCATAAACTACTGAAATTGAGAGGATAAATATTCTAAGGCATTATCACTGCGAAAAGTGCGAATAGAAACGCCAAATTGACTTTTAATTTCAGCACAAAAATTCTGGAATATAGAAAACAACTCAGAACGATCTTTCATTAAGAAAATCCAAGTACATCTTGAATGATCATCAATGAAACTAACAAAATAACGAAATCCCAAGGTTGAACTGACTCTACTAGGACCCCATATATCAGAATGAACTAAAGAAAAAATAGACTCTGCATGACTCTCAATACTACGAGGAAAGGAGGCTTAGGTATGTTTCCCGAGCTGACATGATTCACACTCTAATGTAGATAAACTAGACACCATCTTCTGAAGCTTGGATAAGCTTGGATGTCCTAAACGTTTGTGAATTAGGTCCGGAGGATCTGTAACTAGACATGCCTTGGAGGAAGTGAGTGAGTTAAGGTAGTAAAGACCTTCTGATTCAAGTCCTGTTCCAATCGTTTGTCCCGTACTGCGGTCCTGCATAATAAAAGAATCATCAATATAATATATACCACAATGAAGGGCACGAGTCAAACGACTAACAGATGCAAGATTAAAAGAACAGCCAGGGACATAAAGAACGGAATCTAGAGTGACAGAGGGTAGGGAATTCGCTTGTCCAACTCCTTTTGCTTTAGTTTGAGACCCATTGGCTAAAGTAACAGTGGGAAGAGACTGTGAATACGCAATATTTGACAAAAGGGATTTATTACCAGAGATATGATCAGAAGCGGCTGAGTCCACAACCCATTGTCCAAGAGTACTAGACTGAGAAACACAAGCAAAAGAATTACCAGCAACAGACTACTTGTGGAGATGTCTGCTTACTTGCCCGATATTGAAGGAACTCATTATACTCCCCTTTAGATAAAGAAAATCCCTGGTTACCTGTAGTCTCGGTCTGAGCAATATAAGCATTTTTGGGTGGTCGACCATGTAAAGAATTGCACACGTCACGAGTGTGTCCAAGTTTATGACAATAAGAGCACTTGGGTCTAGATCTTCCAAAACGACCTCCTCCTCGTCTATTCTTCATAGTTTGAGATGCCCAATTGTCCACTGTCTGGGATGCGAGAACAAACGAGTCAAGTGTCTGTGATGAGATCACTGGGTGACTTGGTGCTGCAGCAAGGCGAAGTAATCGAGAGAATAATTCATCAACTGTGGGGACAGTCGGACTAGCCAAAATTTGATCGTGTACTGAGTCAAGATCATTAGGAAGCCCAGCAAGAGTAAGAACTAGAAATATCTTTTGTCGCTGCTCTTGCTGCTTTGCAACACTCGCAGAAACTGGTATCAACTTCTCAAATTCCTCCATGACTGCCTGTACTTGTCCCAAGTAAGTATATATATCTAATTCATGTTTCTTTAAATTTGTCATCCGCGATATTACATCCTAGAAACGAGATATGTCATTAGTGTATAAAGTGCGAGCCTTTTCCCAAACCAAATAACATGTCTAGAATGGACGAAACAAGGGCATCAACTTAGAATCAATAGATCGCCGCAGAATACTGCATAATTGAGCATCGATCTTCTCCCAAAGTGCTTTTGCCTTTTCATCTCCTTCACTAGACTTCGTGATTAGATGATCTTGAACACCTTGACCTTTACACCACAACTCGACAGACAAAGCCCAAGCTAAGTAGTTTGAACTTCCCATTAAAGGTTCTGAGGTAATCATAACACCGAAACTGCCAGAATCCGGGTTTTTAGATCCGAAGGCATCGACTCCCAAAGACATTGTTGGATTGAAGTGAGGCCTATGAAATTATCACCAAATAATAGAAAGAATCAACTGAAAACTCGCTGAAACAGATGAAGGAAACACTGTTTTTGCCGGAAAAAAAATCGGTGAGGTTGCCGGAAAAACTCAAAGTGGTCGGAATCAAACGAAAACAGGATGGGTAGGGTCAGAATTAGTAGCCGACCCAACTGTTCTGAAGAGCCGTCGTCAAAAAATGGCCGGAAGTGGTCGTACTCGCAGGCGCGTGGGTTCACGCGCTTGCCGGAACCCTAGCTTCTGACGGTGCGTGAGCNGCGCTCGCCGGAACCCTAGCTTCTGACAGCGCGTGTGGAGGGTTCTGCCGGAGATGTTCACTGGGGTTTGGTCGCCGGACGATGACGGATCTTGTGGTAGTGTTGGATTTTGCACAACACTGACGGGGAGAGAGATAACGTAAACAGCTTTGAAAAAGTCGCCGGAAAATTTAGGGACGATGACTTCTGCTCTGTATTTTAGTTCCCGGATGTATCTCACCACTACGGCTCTGATACCATGTGAGAAAGCACGGGAGAAAATATTATTGATATTATTCTCATATGTTAAACATGATACAATGAGCCTATATATATATACATAACATGTCCTACTCCTAATACATATGGGATTAGGGTTATTTACTACTATTTACATAACTATTCTAACAATATTCACTTGCCATAAGAGAATCCCCTCTTGTTAGAACCAAAACATAGGCTAGCATAGCTATTTCAGCTGCATGTCTAAAGATTCTGTCATCATTTATTGGTTATGTAGTCCTTACACAACTTTTATGTGGAGTTCTGCTGCAAGAGAAATCAGATTCCTCAATGGAAATAGTGTGTGAAAGTTTTCTGCTAAGATTCCAGATGGGTTCTGAGAGTAGCAGCATTGTCTTTCCGCCCTTGTAAGATGTTTGGCACATTTAATTGGTGGTTGGATTAACAATGCACATTACTTTGTGGACCCAATTTAGCAGGAAAAATGCTGCTTCTGGCTTGACTTATGGGCTGTAAATATATGCCCAGTATGATGCATCTCAATTTAAGTGCTTGAAGCAGTTAGGCGTTGAATGTTAGGTTGACCACAATTTGGGACTTAATTTCACTCAAAACTTATCAACTAACCTAAATATGTGAGCCGGAGATAAGTGATTCATCTATGCATCTTTACATTGATTAGGATAAGCTTTGCTTTTCGGTCCCATGTTATGGATGATGTCTTCAGCAATGGAACATCTCGGGAACTTCTTCCACCAGTAATCTGTCATCCTTATTTTGATTTGCAACAATTGCTTTTTTTTTTTTTACCTGCTATCATGCTGTAAGTTTTTGATGAGAAAATCAAAGACTGAGAGTTGGACATGAGTCCATCTTCATGCTCTTTGAGACTGAATATTAGACATCTAACCTTGTGAAGCTTGTATTTGTCCATTCATGAGAAAAGTCATGCAGAGACTATAAATCGTCTGGTGTTTCATGTGCGAACTGATGGGTTTTAACATTTTCAGGTTGAAAACCAGTCAGGCTTATCCCTTATTTGTCAGTTCTATGATAATCAAGATGTATCAGTTGCAGGAAGACACTCCACTACCATTTTCTTGAGGTGCTTATCACAGCTTACAGTTGTTCTGCTTGTTTACTTGAAACATCCGCTGCTATGATTCAGTGGCAGAACCATCCTTGTAGAGCCAATCAACAGTCTTTAAAGAAACTACAGAACTTGACCTACTGATATATTTTTCTTTTGATATTGTAAAGTTTATTCCACACAGCACAAAGATAGAACTCGACCTACTGATTGAAAAAAGAAAGAAACTATAAACTATAACAGCAGAAGTTAGATGGGAATTTAATTTTCATGTGTCTTATGCCGTGCAAATGATTGATAAAGTCCTAGTTTCCCTTTGTGCAATTTTGGGATAAAAAAGTCGTTTCTCAATAGAGTTCCTTCTCTTTCTTTTCCCTCGATAAAGGAGACATACGTCTACTCAAGCACCCTGACCGTGTTGCACTTTCTCTATTTTACTCGTCTTTCCACAGACGATGTACAATCAGTTTTGTAGTATGTGGGCATTGTGCTTCTGCCATCCTTGAGAATGATACATCTGGCATAATCTAGAGCCTACCTTCTCAACTTGCAACCCTATTTCATCCTTGCTCAGTACAAGATAACACCAGATTAACAGATTTCGAAATAGGAAGTGTATGATGTATGTGTGTGTCTGGAATATGTTTTTTAATTTTTTTTTTTGCCTGCTGCTGATGTTTTGAATTGTGTATCACATTTATACTTAGTAAGATCCCTTATAAATTATTAAAAAAAAAATTATACTGAGTAAGCTCCAGTGTCCTGGGCTTGCACGTAATTAATTTCCTTTCCACGATTTTCATTCTTATGTTTTGAGAGGTTAATCACGGTGTTTTCATTTGTATTTTTGCCTTCGCTTTATTTGAACTTTTACTTGTGTGCTCATCATGTGAGGAGCCTAACTTTTTGTCTGTAAGGCACTTGGCTTTGGCAAATCGGCCTCCGGAAGCGTCATTCTTCTCTATCCAGCTTACGGAGAGAGGATTTCTCTCTACTTCTCCACTTCATCTTTCACTCTTGGACACCCAGTCATTCGCGTGGAGACCACGTATAGTATCTCTACAAGGTGTTTCAGGCTGCTCTTCCCTCAAGTTGTTTTTTAAATATATAAATAAATTTCGCACTACTTGTTAAGACTTGGATTTTGGAGTAGCTGACACCACCAACTTGAGATAAACGACTTTTCTATAGCCTTTGCTGATAATAGGAACCACTACTAGTTCTTTGTGCATATTCAATGAATTCAAACTTAGAGCTTACTAAACTTATTTGCTATTGACCAGAGTCAAAAACTTTCCCTGGTCCATTTCTTGTGGCTGAAGTTTCACCCAGGACTGAGGTACCGCAGCTGATTATCCAGGCATGTCTAACTTAATGTTCTTATGGTTTACAATCCTCTTTCTTGATGTTTGTAGGATTGCTTGACAATCGTCGTCTCTCCATTACTAAAGATACACAATGATACTGATTTCTCAATGGAGCTGCGTTTTCAACGCCCTCAGCATAAGGAAGTTGATTATGCTTCTGTGATGCTTAAGGCCGGGGACACAGTTGACGATTCTATGGCAGCCTTTGGTGCCATAAATCTCTCTGGCGAACGAAAGAAGACACTAAATTCTTTGAGTGTTGGTATGTTTCAAGCATGTTTCCCCCTTTCAAGCTTTGATATTGAAATTGCCTGCTTCTGAGGAAAAGAACTTTATGGAATTGATTTAGATGTCATACATGTTACCTGTCTAGACGAAGTCGAACTATTACAACAACAAGTAGGCCTCAGTCAAACAAGTTGGGGTCGGCTATATCAATCCTCACTTCTCCATTTAAGCTCAACTCATGTCATCATCAATACCAAATAAAATAAAAATGAGAAATAAGTTAAATATATATAAATAATAGTAATAATAATAATAATTATATAATTATAAGCTCTCTAACAAGATTAAAAGCTATTCCCAATTAGTAGATAGCACTTGGATGAATAATTTTCTTCTATTGTGCCCTATCGCTAGCTAAGTTTGTATTGATTCCAACAATTTGGAGGTCTTGCGAGATGACTTCCTTCCATGCTATTTTAGGTCTACCTCATCCCCTTTTAACACGTTCACTCACTATATTTTCATACCATGAATCGATCTGTAGATAAACATTGGACACGGCAAAACCATCTCAAGCGAATTTTATCCTATAATGCGTTCTTACTGCATTTTCTGGCGAGTGTGGTCATTTCTGATCTTATCTAATCCTGTATGACCGCACATCCATCTTTGCATCCGCATCGCTACCACACTCATCTTTTGAATATGTTGAACTTTAGCGGCCCAACATTCACTACCGTACAAAATTGTCGGTCTTATAATTGTTCTGTAGAACTTACCTTTCACTTGATCTCTGATTAAGCTCCTAAACAAGGAAATCCATGATATTGGAACTTAATTTGCAGGTAATTTCCTATTTTCTTTTAGACCTGAAGTTACAGATGACTTAACAAATTTTGAGAATCCATCAGCTTGCTGGTCGGATGATCTTAGAGGTGGAAAGCCTGTTCGACTATCTGGGATATTTGATAAACTTACTTACCAAGTGCGGAAAGCATTTTCCTTTCAATCAATGAAATATTCTTTAAGTACAGCACATTGTGATATTAAGTCAAAGGATGGACGTGTAGCAAAGATTCATTTTCTGATTGAAAGCACTGGGAAAGATGTACCTATCGTACATCCAGATAACTTTGGGTATGCGCGTGTAGATAAAAGTTCGCCAGTTGCCTTGCAAGAGCAGAAAGAAATCTTTCTGCTTCCTACTGTTCACTTCTCCAACTTCTTAGATATGGAGATTCATGTGAGACTCAGTGATACAGGTAATAGCAAATTAAATCTGGTTCAAGTGTTAGTTGATGTATTGTATTACTGACTTTTGCTTTAGTACAGGTCTGCCGTCTACTAATGGTGTTGACTGCATATGCAATGAGGCAACTATTCCCTCTGCGTCGTCTGTAAACTTATATACAAATCCTGCTGCTATTTATTTTATTGTTACCTTAACTTCATTTGGTACAAGCTGCAAACCAATAAATAGTAGCGACAGTGCGAAACGGCTGCAGAAGCGCAAAACTAAAGTTCAGTTTTTGGATATCGAATTAGATTTTGGCAATGGCAAGTATTTTGCATTGCTTAGATTATCTCGTGGACAGAGAGGGATATTGGAGGTAATTATCCTGCTTAGCTGCTTATTACCTTACAGCAAGGTGTTAAATTTGTCTGTGTTTGGTGCAGGCTGCTGTCTTTACTTCTTACACCTTGGAGAATAATACCGAATTTTCTTTATTCTATTTTCCTGCAAATCACAAGCTTGTTTCTAGGTAAGCTCTTGTCCAAGATGAGTTGTAATTTTTTCATTTGGCTCAGTTTAGTCCTTTGCTGAGTGGTACTATTATATCCAGGCACGAGGTGGAAAATATTGCTTCTGCGGTGCCTCCAGAATTAGGATCTTATCTTCCTCCCGGATCAACAAAATCATGGTTCAGCAAGTAAAGTTTTTCTACTTTAATTCGCTAGTTCTAGTTTAGTCGAATCCATTATGTCGTCTCTCCTTGTTCCATCTATCAGTGGTTATGAAACTGTAGGCATTATGCTTTTCACCCTGCATAATTCTTGTTTATACTTGCTAGATGCCACAAGGTGCACATTACACTCTTGGATGAGAGAGCCTCTAAAGCACCCTTGGACTTGGATGCTTTATCAGGCCTTACGGAGGTGAACCTTGAAGTGGAAGGAAAATCTGGTTCCAAAACTGTTACAAAGTTAGGAGTTTCTTTGAAACCATCTGTTAGCAAAGTAGTTCCACTGCAGGTTGTATCAATGTATCCCAGATACGTCATACTAAATGAGTCAGATGAAGTCATCACTGTCCGTCAATGTTTTTTGGAGGTCTGTCTTTGTTTTTGATTTCAGATGTTAGCTTTCATTTGCTGTTAAACTGGTGACGAAATCCTTTTTTGTCTTAGGAGGATGGGACTGACACAACTGTTACACTCAACAGTAAGCAGAGAGCAGCTTTAACTTTGAGGAGTGGAAATGGGATGGCAACAATTAAAAGACGCACCCTCTTTGAGAATTTTCTCAAAAAGCATTCAAAATCCCAAAATGATTCGTCATTTTTTGTCCAATTTCAACCCAATAAGGCCAGTTTCTCCTGGTCTGGGCCAGTTTGTATTGCTTCACTTGGACGATTTTTTCTTAAATTCAAGAAGTCGACCGAGTATTCTGTTCAACAACCAGATCCTGCAACTCAGCATAACTCATCCATGTGTGAATTTGCCACTGTTCATGTGGTTGAAGATGGTCCTACAATTGTTTTACGCTTCTGTTGGCCAGCAAATATGGACCTGCCTTACCGGATTGAAAATCGCTTGGAAAATACTTCTATTACATATTATCAGAAGGAGGTTTTGTATCTCTTTTCATCGTTGTTCGATGTTTGACTTGCAAGTTTCAACATATTGTAATCACGCAATTAACTCTTATCGTGTACCTTTATCGTGGAGAACCTTCAGGGTTTAACAGAGCCGGAGGTTTTGGCATCTGGAAGTAGTGTTGGCTATGTCTGGGATGACCTGACACATGCTCATAAGCTTGTTGTCCAGATTGACGGTAGCTGTTAACCTCTTAAAATCTTCACTAGAACAGATACTATAGAAGTTTAACTGCATAGATTGATGATGCACGCTTGTTATTTTATTAGGATTAGCCTGTTGTATTTTTATACGTTGATGTTGAATAGCACGAACCGTCTCATCGAAAAGTTTTAGCTGTTGGATGGGAAATGCTTTTTATTTGCTTTTGAATTATTTGATTAGTCTAAGTTATAAAGCAGTGTCTTCACAGAATACAGGTTAAAAATTGAATTACTAAAAGATATACAATTCTGTGAAAAAGTATGATGATTTATCAATACCAATCAACTACTCCCTCCATCACAGTTTATGTGAGGGTGTTTAATTGGGCACAAAATTTGAGAAAGAAAGATAAACTTTTGAAACTTGTGATCTAAAACATGCCAGGCATGTATGTGGCTCTAAGTCATCTCATTAAGGGTAAAATGAGAAGTTTAAAGTTAAATTGTTTCTAAATATAAAAAGTGTCATTCTTTTGGGGCAAGCTAAAAAGGAAAGAGAGTCGCATAAATTGGGACAGAGGGAGTACGTCTCAGTTGTATACTCCCTTTGTTCCAGTTTATGTGAACCTATTTCCTTTTTGGTCCGTTCCAAAAAGAATGAACCCTTTCTAAATTTGGTAACAATTTAGCTTAAAGTTACAACTTTACCCTTAATGAGAAGCTTTTATAACCACACAAATACTCTGGGCCCCATTTGAACTTGTTTAGGACCACAAATTCCAAAAGTCTTCATTTTTTACTTAAACTCCGTACCCAGTCAAACAAGTTCACATAAATTGGAACGGAGGGAGTATTAGTTAGGGCCACCTATGTCCAAAATTCTCCATGTTCATTCCACTCAATTCAAGCTCATTTCATTGCTATGCTTAATAATGTCTTTAAGAGAAATTAGGGTTTTCTATAACTATAGAGGTTCTTTAGTGCTCACACTTAACCTTACACTGATGTTCAAGTCTCTAACTAGATCAAAATGACTCATGATGCAACTGTAGCAACAACAACAAGCCTTAATTCTCATTCGTTTATATGGACTATATGCTTGCATTAAAAATTGTGACTAGGAAAATGAAGGATCAGTTGTGCTCTCTGTTTTTTATTCGAGGTATTGTATTGTTTCTACCTTTTGCGATGTGAAGTAGTTGTCTATATATTTTTTTTTCCAAATTAGTATGACTTTATGTGAGCGATATGTGGTCGACGACGGCGGATTATATGGAGGCGGCGAGAGAGGTGTTGGGAGTCTCGAAGGGTTACGCTGGCGGGCACAAAGGCGATTGGTGGTGGAATGAAGTGGTCCAAGGTAAAGTGGAAGCGAAGAAGGCGGCGTACCTGAAGTTAGTAGGGAGCACATGCGAGGTAGAGAGGAGTGCGAACAGGGAGAGCTATAAAGTAGCTAGGAAGAAGACGAAACGGGCGGTCCCAAAGGCTAAGAGTGCGGCTTTTAGTCGTTTGTACGAGGAACTAGGGGCCAAAGGTAGGGAGAAGAAATTATTCCGGCTGGCCAAGGCGAGAGAGAAGAAGGCTCGGGATCTGGACCAAATGAGGTGCATCAAAGACGAATACGGTAGAGTATTGATGGGAGAGGCCCAGATTAAGCGGAGATGACAGACTTACTTTCATAAACTTCTGAATAAAGAAGGGGATCATGATATTGTGCTAGGCGAGTTGGGGCATTCCGAGAGTCACCGCGATTTTGGGTACTGTAGGCGCATCAAGGTTGAGGAGGTCGTGAGGGCTATGTGTAAGATGAGCAGGGGCAGAGCTACCAGTCCTGACGAGATTCCGGTAGAATTTTAGAGGTGTGTGGGTAGAGCAGGTTTGGAGTGGCTGACTGAGTTGTTTAATGTTATTTTCAGGACGAAGAGGATGCCGGACGAGTGGAGGTGAAGTACGGTGGTTCCGTTGTACATGAACAAAGGTGACATCCAGAGTTGCAACAACTATAGGGGTATCAAATTATTGAGTCATACCATGAAAGTTTGGGAGAGGGTGGTAGAAGCGAGGGTGAGGAGGACGGTGTTTGTATCAGACAACCAGTTCGGGTTCATGCCGAGTTGTTCTACTACGGAAGCTATCCACCTTATTAGGAGGTTGGTGGAACAGTACAGGGATAGGAAGAAGGATCTGCACGTGTTTATTGATCTGGAGAAAGCGTATGATAAGGTTCCTGGAGAGGTTCTTTGGAGATGCCTAGAGGCTAAAGGTGTGCCGGTTGCTTAAATTAGGGCGATTAAGGACATGTATGATGGAGCTAAGACTCGGTTTAGGACAGTGGGAGGCGACTTTGAGCATTTTCCGGTTGTTATGGGGTTACACCAAGGATATGCGCTCAGCCCATTCTTATTTGCCCTGGTGAATGGTGATGGACGCACTGACACACCGTATTCAAGGAGAGGTGCCATGGTGTATGTTATTCGTTGATGACATTGTTCTGATTGACGAGATGCGGAGTGACGTTAACGAGAGACTTGGAGGTTTGGAGATAGGCCCTTGAGTCTAAGGGTTTCAGTTGAGCAGGGCGAAGACGGAATTTCTTGAGTGCAAGTTCAGTGCTGAGCCGAGGGAAGTGGGCATGGACGTAAGGCTTGGATCGCAGGTCATTTCCAAGAGAGGCAGTTTCAAGTACCTTGGGTCGGTTATCTAGGGGGATGGGGAGATCGAAGAGGATGTCACACACCATATAAGGTGAGGTAGATGAAATGGAGGTTAACATCTGGAGTCCTGTGTGACAAGAAAGTGCCATCGCTACTCAAAGGTAAGTTTTATAGAGCGGTGGTTAGACCGGCCATGTTGTATGAGGCTGAGTGTTGGCCAGTTAAGAACTCACATATCTAGAAGATGAAAGTAGCAGAAATGAGGATGTTGAGGTGGATGTGCGGGCACACAAGGATGGATAAGATTAGGAATGAAGATATTCGAGAGAAGGTGGGCATGACTCTCATTGATAACAAGATGCGGGAAGCGAGGCTCAGATGGTTCGGGCACGTACAGAGGAGAAGCTTGGATACGCCGGTAAGGAGGTGCGAGCGGTTGGCGTTGGTGGGTACGGGGATAGGTAGAGGGCAGCCTAAGAAGTATTGGGGAAAGGTGATCAGACGGGATATGTCGAGGCTTGAGATCTCCGAGGACATGACACTCGATAGGAAACTGTGGAGGTCGAGCATTAAGGTTGTAGGTTAGGAGGTAGTTGAGCATATTTAGTCTACCAGTGTGAGGCTAGGATGATAGGATTTAGTCTTAGACTGCTAATGGTCAATGTTGTGTTTACACTACTCTTCCGTTTTCATAGTGTCGGGCCGTACTTACTGGTTATTATTTCTGCTTTCCGTCTATTCACTGGTTCTTGTGATGTTGTTATTATTTCTATGTTTTTTTTTGTTGATGGTACTGATATATGGTCTCTTTTCGTCTTCTTGAGTCGAGGGTCTACCGGAAACAACTTCTCTATCCCCTCGGGTAGAGGTAAGGTCTGTGTACACACTACCCTCCCCAGACCCCACTTGTGGGATTTTACTGGGTCGTTGTTGTATGACTTTATTATCTATTTATTAAAAAAAGTATGACTTTATTATCTATTTATTAAAAAAAGTATGACTTTATTATCTCATTTTTGGTAATTTTTATCTTGCAGCTGTACATCTACTACGTGAAATAAACTTGGATAAAGTACGTGAATGGAAACCATTTTACAGGATTAAGCAACAGAGAGGTCTAGGGTTTCACTTACCTCTGGAAAAGAAGACAGAAGATTCAAAGAAAAATAGATATGGGCAGTTAACTGGCATGGAGATCATTAAGTTGGGTTATGAAGTATATGCAGAGGGCTTGACTAGGGTTCTGAGAATTTGTGAGTTTTCTGATAGACGCAGAGGGGACACTTCATTCCATTCCTGCACAAAGATGCAGCTAAGAATTTCCTATTTTGCAATTCAATTACTGGAACGTGCAAAGCAAGTAAGTTCGTGTTTCTATGTCAGTTTTTGCTATCATTGTGTCTTTAACCATCTTTTATTTGGCTGCTGTTGATTCTTTCAAATTAACAGTTTCAATGTGCTTGAGTGAATTGTTTTTCCCTTGGAAATAAACAAGCCTTTTTAAATGTATCTCTTACCTAGTTAGCTAATCTGTAATTAGTTATACAGTGGAATAGTATGTTCCTTTCTACTAGAAATTTCCCTTTGAGAATAATTCATCTGCATAGGCATCCAGCCTGGCTTTCTTGTTAAGGGTTTTGCAGTTTGAGAAAATGGAATTTTATATAGTAATACCAGTCTAGTGGTTATTCACCTTCTGTTTCTAGAGATCAGTCTTATTCACTCTGTTCTGTGATGAAATGTAATAGTGTATCATGACTGGAGCACTTGGGTCGTCATCTTAAATTTTCTTTGACTAATGAGAATGGACTTCAGCTTATAGTTTGCAAGAAGTCTATGATGTCTGCGAAATATTCATGTTTTGTATTTTGACGGGTTTAGGGAAATATGAATTGGAATCACAGACTAATTTTATCTTCAGTACAAAGGTGTGAAAAATAGAAAATTGGTCTGTCTCAACCATTTATGGAGTAATCTAGGAGAGTCAGTAATAGGATAAGCTGTGGGTTATCTTGGAAGGTCGAGGTAGTAAATTCCATGTGGCTCATATATGGTACATCCAATTAAATGTTTGGGATAAACAGCTAATTGATATAGATTGAAGGAACAACCTAGAATATGTAGCACTAAACTGCACTAAAAGCTAGATGTTTAGTAAATCTCTTTGCTTGGAGTTACATTTTGATGTAAATAGCTCATTAGATCTATTAGATTTTGTAAGCTCCTTGAGCAGATAGGAGGTTTTTGCTTTTCAGGAGAATTGACTTTTTTGTAGTCAATTACATCCTCTGGATGATTGATTTAATGAAAGCTTACCTTACTTGATCAAAAAAATATGTAACACTAAACTAAAGTCAAAGACGAAAGTCGCTTGACCTGCTATTGTTGCCATGGTTTTGGAACGTACCTAATAGTAGAGGAAAGATATTTATTAGATATACAACCAGAAGCTCTTGAGTCAATGACCTAAGATCCAAGAGTGAACGACCGAGAAGTTTTAGCAGCAAACCTTTATAGTTAGGACGATAGAAGTTACTTCTGGAGATGACCGCTTAAGTGCTATACGCTAGAGGAACTAGGCGCCATTTGTTTCCACTTTATGGAGGTTTGAATCTGGATCATTCAGATCTCTCTATTAAGTGCATTTAGTTTGTTTTTTTCTTTCACAACCATTTTATATTAGTTCTTGATAAGTCTCAATTATTCAGATCTAGTACAGAGTCTTAAAATCATTAAGATGTTCCGTTAAAGATTTTGTGAATGTAATCTTTTACTATTACTCTATTATTACCATCACCGTCCTCTACCACCATGCAACCACCACAGCCAACCACCTATAAAACCTACCACCACTACAAATCACCTCTACCATCAGCCTCCACCTCACAACCACCATCTCAGACCGCCCTCACGGTCAGTCACCTCCACAACTAGTCATCACTACCAACCACCTCTACCACTAGCCTCCACCACACAACCATCATTGTTGACCAGCACCATCCAACCAATTCCACCGCTAGCCATCACCATCAGTCACCATCGCACATCCATCACCTCCCGCCATCAACACACAACCACCATTGCTCAACCACCATCGTCTGCTTCCTCCGCCAACTGCTGGCTATTAGAATGTGGTTCATTAAAGAAGCAATTTATGCAACACCATGTAAAATTAATATTATCTCTAATATTTTGTGGATATAATATTTATTATTTATTTATTTGAATTCCATATTTATTAATTTTAATTAAAGATAAATTATACACATTTAGATGTTGAGAAAACAAAGTCTTAATTATTCAGTATTAAAATCTAGATACAATATCTTTGACGATCAATCCAATAACACCCAGAAGATGAAAATGAGGTGTCTAGTCCTTTTCTATTTTTGGTATAAAGGAACGTATTTAGAAGGCCATGAGTCTATTGTTGTTGTCTTAGAATCCTTCTGAGAAGACAAAAGATTAGGAGTTTCTTCCAGTATTTCACACGGTAAATATGGGTGACTGCACAGTTTTTGTGTAGTTTATTTATTAATATACAAATGTGTTCCTTCTCAAAAAATAAAAATCTGTGCCAATGTCTACAAAGTCAAAAAATCAGAACCTCTCAGCAAATTTAAAAGTTGCATTTTAAGGCAAGAAGATTTTCTTCTGTTCAATAAGTAAAGCAAAAGAGTCTTAATGGCTCATGAGGATAGTGCTTGCCCCTTTCTATGGAACAGTAAGTCTTCTGATGGTGCAAACTGTAGGTTATGTCCTGCTGATTATAGGTATTCTCTGATGTTCCTGTAAAGTACAGAGACAATAGAGAAATCTCTCTTATGTTGTATTCAAGGAGTAACAAGTATATATACAAGTACATAGAGCCTTAACTATGGAAAGAATCAAAAAGGAAATCCTATAAATCTGCGGTGAATCCCTATAATTATGCTAGCTATGTATATTACATAAGATTATGTCTACATTCAGATTATGTCTACGTTCATTATATAACACTCCCTCTCAAGCTGGAGCATAGATAATGATCATGCCCAGCTTGTTACAAAGGTAATCAACTCGAATTCCATTCAACGCCTTTGTGAACAAATCAACCGGTTGATCTCCTGTCTTCACGTAGCCCGTGGAGATCAAGTTCTCCTAAATCTTCTCACGAATAAAATGACACTCAACCTCAATATGCTTAGTTCTTTCATGATACAACGGATTTGACGCAATATGGAGGGCAGCTTGATTGTCACACCAAAGTTTTGCTGGTATTGGATGCTCTAACCCAATTTCAGTCAACAGATGATGTATCCACATAATCTAACATGTAGACTGTGACATAGCTCTATACTCGGATTCTGCACTAGATCGAGATACAACACTTTGCTTCTTACTCCTCCATGATACCAAGTTTCCTCCAACAAAGACACAATAACCTATAGTAGATCTTCTATCAATTTCGATCCAGCCCAGTCAACATCTGCAAAACACTCAATACGAGTATGATTGTGATTGCTATATAATATGCCAAGTCCAGGAGCTCCTTTCAAGTAACACAAAATCTGTTCCAAAGCTGCCCAATGTTTGACCGTTGGTGCAGACATAAACTGGATAACAACATTTACCGCAAAAGCAATATCTGGACGAGTCACAGTAAGGTAGTTTAATTTCCCAACTAACCTCCTGTATTTCTCTGGATCGTCAAAAGGATCACCATCGTCTTTCATAAGATGCACATTAGGAACCATTGGAGTACTGCAAGGTTTAGCTGCCAACTTTCCAGTTTCTGCAAGCAAGTCAAGAATGTACTTTCTCTGAGACAAAAGAATTCCTTTCTTGCTTCTATTTACTTCTACTCCCAAAAAGTATTTCAACTGGCCCAAGTTCTTTGTATGAAACCTAGTATGCAAAAAAGACTTGAGGGAAGAAATCCCAGCATAGTCACTTCCTGTGATAACAATATCATCAACATATACAACAAGGAGAATAATGCCAGCTACTGATTTCTAATAGAAGACTGAGTCTCATTTTCAACCCAAACTCCTGAACTACCTCACTGAACTTGCCAATCCAAGCTCGTGAACTCTGCTTCAAGCCATACAAGGACTTCTTTAAATGACAAAGGACTTCAAGGACTTCGAAGAGTATCATTTGATTGTTCTGTCAAAGTACGGGTAACCTTATATACTAGCCACTCATCTTCCTCCCCCTGGCTTGTAGAAATGGGAGGTGCATAGAAGAATGGTGTAGTCTCTGAAAATACCACATCAGTTGACACTAAATATTTGCCAAGCTCAGTAGAATAACATCGATACCCCTTCTGAAGGCGAGAATAGCCTAGGAAAACACACTTCACACCCTTGGGATCCAACTTGGTAAGAGATGGTCGAACATCTCGAACATAACATGTGCTTCCAAACACCTTAGGTTCCACTGGAAATAATGACTTGTTCGGAAAAAGAACACTATAAGGCACATTACCATCAAGTACACTAGATGGCATGCGATTAATCAAAAAACAAGCCGTAGAAACTGCATCAGCCCAGAACTGTTTAGGAACCTTCATTTGGAGCAAAAGTGCTCGAGCTGTCTCAAGTAGATGCCTATTCTTCCTCTCAGCAACTCCATTTTGAGAGGGTGTATCAACACATGAAGACTGATGTAATATACCATGTCGTCTCATGTAGGACTGAAATAACTCTGACGTATTCTTTAGCGTTATCACTCCTTAGAGTACGTACTGAAGCATTGAATTGAGTTTTGATGTCAGCACAAAAGACAGAAAAATGAGTAAACACTTCAGAGCGGCTCTTCATAAAGTAAATCCAAGTCATTCGAGAAAAATCATCTATAAAAGTGACAAAATACTTATGCCCAGTTTTAAAAACAACCGAACATGGTCCCCAAACATCAAAATGGACTAACTCAAAAGCTGACTCAGCTCGCTTATTAGCCCTTGGACTTAACGAGATGCGATGGTGTTTTGCAAATCGACATGACTCACAATCCAATGTTGAAATATTCTGAAACTGAGGACAGAACTTCTTTAACAAAGGCAAAGAGGGATGTCCAAGTCGACAATGTGCTTCAAAAGGAGACACGATACTAGAGCATGCAACAGACCGTGGCTCCCATTCATCAAGAATGTAGAGATCACCAGATATATATCCTTTACCAGTAACGTGCATCGTCTTAAGATCTAAAAACAAACAATAATCGAGAAAGAATGCAACACAACAATTAAGGTCTTTGGTAATTTTACTAACAGAAATCAAGTTGAAGGCCAAGTTTGGTAGACTTAATACAGATGACAGGGTAATAGAGGAAGTTGGTTTAACAGTCCCAGATCCAACACTACTACAAGTTGATCCA